ACGAAGTAGTATTTCGTGTGCACGAAGTAGTATTTCGTGGCCACGCAATAAGTTTCACGGGCGCACGAAATACTTATTAATAATATCAATAAATCCGCCCCTGTTTTCAGGCTTATGTTAACTGTAATGACTTATCTTGGACAGGCTGCTATGTAAACGGGCCTTTAGTCCTTCGTTTAGCTATGCTGCGGTTGTTTACACTACGCCTTTTCCACCTCAAATGGCGTCTTAGCAACAAATGTCACATGACTGGCGGAGACCGACTGGGTAAACAAATCGAGCGCGCCTTAGACTTAAGAGAAGGCGCGCTCGATTTGCTTACCCAGTTGTCCAGGAATGATATTAATATTATTAATAGGTATTTCGTGCGCACGTTAAACTTGTTGCGTGGCCACGAAGTAGTATTTCGTGCGCACGTTAAACTTATTGCGTGGCCACAAAATACTACTTCGTGGCCACAATTAAACATTTTTTTTGACAATGTCATCAGAGGGGCTCCGTATAGATGTGATGACAATGAATTTCTTTTCAGGTCAAAAATGTGTTCTGAATATATTTTAACACTGAAACAGTAAGTACAAACATACAACATTTAAATTTCAGTTGCATTTTTAATTCAAATCCCAGCGACACAGATTTACTTCCATATTGACCCATAATTGTTTGGCCAATCACGTTTCAGGATTATGAGTCTATTAAATTGAAATGCATTTACAATCTGTTAAAAAAAAAGACTGAAACAATAGAATCTGAAAAGAATAACATCAAAGTTACTTTTAAAAACCTATTTTTGAAAAGTTTCATTTGCAAAACATTTTCTTTGCAACAATAATGGACTAAAATTGCCTCCATAGCAGAAGAAGCGGGTCTGGACATACCAGCAGTGTTTCCTTTCAGGGAGCTTCTTCAAGTTTTAGTCAATTTGAACTTATTTCTAACTTTTTACTGCTTTTCCTCTTTTTCCAGCCGCTCTGGAGACATCATTGAACCTCTTTTAAAAAAGCAGTGGTTTGTTCGCTGCGATACAATGGCTCAGAAAGCCATACAGGTTGGTTTTCAGTGTGAGACGCTCATCGTTTACTCAGAATCTTAAAGTTGGTTGTAAAAAATGGTGTATGTTTGAATTGCAGGCTGTGGAGGACGGACAGCTGGAAATCATTCCTCATCATTACACTAAGACGTGGAAGAACTGGCTGTCCAACATCAGGTAGGATGTTTCCATTTGATGAAATTCACTTCCAGTTCGATATGGAAACTCGTCTGAGTGCTTTTCCTCCTAATGGAAAGTGTTCATCTAATTCTTCCACTCTGAGTTTTTTTTTTGCTGTTTCCAGTGACTGGTGCATTTCCAGGCAGCTTTTATGGGGTCATCGGATCCCAGCTTACCAAGTAGAGCTTCCCGACTCCACACCTAAAGAACAGGTCAGTTTTTGATGTGTAATTTAGAAGAAAATAACACTATTATAGGCTTGTGTTGTCCAACAAACCCACTTACAGCACGCTGAACAAGCAACAGCCATGTAAAAGCTGTAGTACTACTTTGTGTTGTAACCCAAATAGATCTGCTTCCAATGTGCTGTTTAAATGGAACTTAAATTGAAAAACAAGACAATTATAGATTGCAAATTTTATTGATAACTATATTTCTGCACTCCGCCAGTAGGCAGTGACATGTTGACACAAAACTATGAAATCTGAGGTTCATTGAAGCAATTTTGCCAAAAGTTTCAAATCCTCATGAGGCTTCATCTCACCATCACTACTATGGACCTGGTGTGCTGTCGCTGCGGGCTTCTGAGCACGCTCAGAGCAGTCAGTGTTTACAGCGGTGTTATTTTCTAAATAGCCTGCAGGGGGAGCATTGCTCATTAGGACTTGGTGCTGCTTTATTGTTCTTACTCTTGCTGTAGTAACGGCGATTTTTATGGCTGTATTTTGTGTGGCTCTAGGAGCTGTGGGTCTGGGGCCGAAGTGAGGCGGAGGCCAGACAGAGAGCCGCTGTGAAATATGGATTAAACCCAGAGGACATCACTATGCGACAGGGTAACCCACCACTTCTACTCTGCATCAGCTCAATGCAAACATTCCTGAAGTTTCTGTTTAACCCGACATCGCTGAATTATTGTTAACAGTCGGGGGGGAGGATTTTCCATTAGGCAATACTAGGCAGTTTTATGGGGCCCCAAGTTCCCAGGGGCCCCATAAAACTCTGTTCACATGTATGGTTAATACAACTATTCCTTATTTGTGCACATTAATTATGTTTGTGATAAAATCCTTTCACTAAAATACCATCAGAACGCTGATAATATTAATTGTGTCTCAGCCCCCCCTTCAGTGTC